AAGAAGTAGCTTTTTCTTTCCCTGAAATAGATAATAGCAGGTTGTTGTTCCTGCACTGGAGTAAAGTAGGAAGAACTGGATAATCTATGGAAATCTTTTCTCAACCTTTGCTTTTCTTGGATTTTAAAATTATTTTTTCATGGTTTTGAACTTTTCACTATGGAGAATACTTTAGTATGATTTATATCCAAAACAAGTACAGAACTTATGTATATATCTCCATAGATATAAGCGACTTCTGAGCATAAGCTGAAGCGCTGACTAGAGCTGAACAAGGAAAGGAACGGTCACTGAGAATAATTTAAAATAGTCTCTTTTTTCCTTTTTTTTTTTTAAATATTTTATTTTAAGCAATTTGTGTGAGGTGACAGATGCAAACTTAGTATGCCTAGAAATTAAATCCTTTATTTTCAGGAGTGTGGAGGCCCTACCATCTCATAATTAGCCATCCTTTCCCTTAAGAATTATATGTTTTTCTAGAAAGGGAACAGGGAAATACTTTTATTATTGCTTTTGACCAATATATCTCTTAAGAATGCACTCAAAACTACTGGAAAATTCCTTTACTGTTATTTTTTAGACTGTTTGCTACTTGAGTTTTGTCTCATGAATGTACTTCATGAAAAGGCTAAAACCAGGTATGATGCTCTACTGCAACACATTCAGGTAAACATCATTCTTTTCGTAGTATACAGAGGCAAGGGAAGTGTTAATGCATGGACATTTCTCTGTTTAGTTCTCTACCAGCTCCTGTTGATTTTTAATAAGAACAACAACAGCCTGTGTGTGAAGACCATATTTTGAGCAGATTCCCAGTCTGTTTGGGAGACTGAAGACACAATACTGTTTCCTTCTGTAGTTAATAGGAGAAAGCTTCAGGCAAGACAGCCTGTGGCAAACTTATTTCAAACATTTTAAGGTCTTGTTGAGTGGAGCAGTCTACATGTATTATTGAGTAGGAATTAATATCAACTTCCTTATGTCAAAAAGTAACACAGTATTTTATACACAATGTTTAAAAAAGCCTTGATTTTAAAGGTTTTATGATGCATTAAAAAAAACTCAGAACTGCTGTGAAATACTACTAGTGGCAGTGGTACTTCAGACAAAATGCCCAGGAAAATATATTAATGCAATTTTGAATTGGCAAATGGAAAACCCTGATACTGCTGTGTTATTCTTGCAGGATTGCACATCTGTCTCGTACACCTAGCAAGGGCTAAGAAGAACCAGCAGTAAGAGAGATGCATTTTTCTAGTTGATGTTTTGGCAGACTTCATACTCAATCAGGTTGTGCGTGCCCAAGCCGCGGTACCTCTCTGCTGGGTTAGGTGTCCCACAGCAAGAAAGAAGCCAGTATAAACACTTGCGTGTGTGGTTTGCAACTTGAGAGGTGTTAAAAACAGGTACTCATGCCTCACTCAAGACAAAGTTATGCCGGGTATGGTGAAATACAACAGCATCTCTGCCAGTGCAGACCTGGCCTTAACATGATGTGAGACCATGGTATAATGGTTTTTGCAGGAGCAAAAGATAAATTTTGTGAGGAACAGGAGGAGGGAAGGCCTCAGTGAGATTAAAAAAGGGGTAAAAATTCAGGTAAAATAAACCGTTCTGTAGACGAAGAACTTTTGCCATGCTTTGGTATTTCTGCCCACTTATTTTGAATAAGCGTATCTACATTTCAAGACAGAAAAGTATCTTAAACAAAATTGAGATATGCTTTTGACCTGGATCACTGATGCACAAATGGGAAGAAAAAGCACCCAGACAATATTTGCTTTACAGTTTTTATTTATGTGTTATTTTTTAAAAGTGTGTTTTGTGCTCTCTTTTGCATGAAAAAGTAACAGGGCAGCCACAGCTTCATTCAGAACAGTTCAAGGATTTTTAATGAAACCTTCAGACTTTTGAAACTTGCAACCTCATCCTGC